CATTTCAGACAAGTGGCTATCCAGTCTCTTTTTGAAAACCTCCAGTGATGGGGCACCCACAGTTTCTGAAGACAAGGCATTCCATTGGTTGATTATTCTCACCATTAAAATTTTTCTCCTTAGTTCTAGATTGCTTCTCTCCTTGATTAGTTTCCATCCATTGGCTCTTGTTTTCTGCTGGTTTGGAAAATAAGTTGACCCCCCTCTTTTTTATGACAGCCCTTCAAATACTGGAATACTGCAATAATATCACCTCTACTCCATTTTTTCTCTAGATTAGCCATACATACCTAATTTCTGCAACTGTTCTTCATATGTTTTTTTCCTTTAGGCCCTTAATCATCTTAATTGCTCTGCTTTTCACCTTTTCCAAAGTCTCAATATATTTTTGTAATGTAAAATTGCAGCATCTCCTTTTTTTGTGTTGCTGTTTCTTTGAAACAAGCTGTACCCATTAAGTCTAACCTATCAGATTCAAGAAAAGCTGGTCAATGGAAATGCCCATATACATTAAAGGAAAAAGGAAAATGGCATAGAAGATAAATCTGCTTACTCAGATTTATCAGAGGTGGTATTCAGCAGGTTCTGACCAGTTCTGGAGTAGTGGATATTTGGAGTAGTTTGGAGAACCGGCAAATACCATCTCTGACTGGAGATTTTACAGTATCCTTCCCCTGCCATGCCCACCAAGCCACACCCACAGAATTGGTAGTGAAAAAAAATTGAATCCCACCACTGTTCAGAGTGATTGACACTTGTACATATGTGAAGCAGGGGTGGGATGCAAATATTTTTACTACCAGTTCTATGCACATGGCTAGGTAGGGTGTGGCTAGCTGGGCATGGGTGGGTGTGGCTTCTTTTTTTTTTTTTACAGCACCCCTCCTGGCACTCCGGTTTTTTGCCTCCTGGGCCTCAGGGAGCCTCCTAGGAGGCTATTTTTGCTCCCAGGAGGCTTCCCTAAGGCCCAGGAGGCAAAAAACAGAGCATGGGGCAGGGGGGCAGGCTCTGTTTTTTTTTGCCTCCTGGGCCACAGGGAAGCCTCCTGGGTGAAGCAGTAAGACAATGAGATGTCAACTCATAAAATATTTCTATGGTCTTTTTAGAGTTGCCAACAGAAAGGGAGGGGGAAAAGAGGTTTGAAAGAGCAGTGCAGTAGCTTGGAAAGAGAAAGTGTATTCCATAAATAGTTTTTCAAAGATAGTAACTTGGTCATTGAAGTTTCTGTTGCGCAAAATTCTAACTGGAGAACATGATTGATGACTCTTGGCTATGGATGTGTCTTATTGGAGAATATGAATTATGATACACCCGGGGGTGGAGGAAAACCAGGGTCAAGGGTGACAATGAATTATGTGTCTCAGAGTCGGCTACACCCAGGCAGTGCTGGACATGTTAACTCCCAATAAATCCTTTTGAAGTTTTGGAAGTTTGGCTCAAGACTCATGATTTAATTGGCTTGGCTGCTGGAATCCTGACACAAGGGGTATCCCAGCACAGCTGATCGTTGGAACAGCTGATTGTTGGGAGGAAAAAAAGAAATACCGTTTCAGCCAAATATGGATACAAGCTGTCCATAACCAAAGGATACCCAGTTCAACAAATCTCTGTGTTAATGTAACTAAAAAGCCTTCAGATGTAATCCCCATTCTAGGGAATAGGAGGGAATGGGGAATGTAATCCCCATTCTAGGGAAGAGGGGGGAATGGGGGATGGGATAAGCTACTTTCCCATCTTGCAGAACAAATGGTGAGAGATAAATGTGCAAATTATTTTTTCTAAGACGGGAAAAAAATCAGATCATGAATGTGTTTAGAGATGATGGACTTAGATAACTATGTTTGCTACTTGACTGCATAACTTTTGACCAATCAGTGTGTCTCTGCTCAATTTAGGGCTGTTTATGATGGGACAGAATGAGGAGAGGACAGCCAAATTACTGCAATACTTTAATATGATAATCTTGTTTTTCATTGGAGCATGGGTCTTTTTGTTCTCTTTCTTATTCAGCTCTGATAAAGTTCCACATTTTAAATACTCTTCAGTGTTCTGAAGCCATCATGGGTGGTGCAGTCTTTGAGACCTTGGAAGGGAATACAATTGAAATTGGCTGTGATGGTGAAAGCTTGTCAATCAATGGAGTCAAAATGGTGAACCGAAAAGATATTGTGACAAGTAATGGTGTCATTCATCTCATAGATCAAGTGCTTATTCCTGATTCTGGTAAGTGAAGCAGGAGTAAATTCAATCTCATATTTTTCATATTATTGATCACCAGACTGGACCAGCAGGTGATCTAATTTTTGTCTCAATTAAGGAGAGTCATGATATATAGCCAAAATTGATAACTATAATTCCTTAAATTTTATATGAAATATTTATCTGTCTGGTGACAACTTTGAAGCAAATCAAACCTCTGTTTTCTGTTTTATTTTCAATTTTAGCTAAACAAGTTATGGAACTTGCTGGCCCCCACCAAGCTACCTTCAAGGACTTGGTAGCTCAGCTTGGCTTGGCTGCATCTCTACGACCAGAAGAAGAATATACCCTGCTAGCTCCATTGAATAGGGCTTTTTCTGGTAGGTGGGCCATATTAAAATTGTGTAAGGATTAAAGAGAGAAGTAGTTGGAGTCCTATTTTTTGTCAGGATTTTCAAATAGCTGTCAGCTTTTAATAATTTAATCTACCATTTTCTATTTTCTTCATGCTTTTGACATAATTATCCGCCACTGATATTATGGCATCATAGTGAGGATCATGATGAAAAAAAATCAGCTCTATTGTTTCTTTCCTGATTACTTGATGCTGTTTTCTGCTCATCTAAGTAATGGTGTGATCTGGGCTGCTTGTTTCCCTAGACTTTTGATTATATATTTTAAATGGTATGGTTTATCTCTGTGTGCCTGTTGATGGCTACTTTGGAACTGCTAGGAAGCCCCTAGCTGTTTTGGATTTGGCTTGATCTAAAATGTCAAAATTTTCAAGTTGAAATTGTAGTTTTTGAGAAATCAAGATATTTTCATAATGCCTTCTGATTGCCAGTTAATTTCATGGATACTTATGGGCTGATATCTACTTGCCTTTTTGTATCTTTGGTACGAAGGCATAGCTGGCAGGCTCTCTAACATATACATAATAGACACACTCAACTCATTTGCTATGCAACCCAGATCCAATTTACCTCAGTGTCAAACAATTTATTCCTGGCTCTGCACCACAAGAAGTGCTGATCCTTCTAGCATCAAGTGTCATCTTAGCCTCAAATTAGCCCCACCATACAAGATAAATGAAGGGACAACTGATTTTTCTGACCTTCATTCTCAAGCCCTGGTTGCTATCAGTTGACCAATCGACTTAGCAAAAAAATCTTACCACCTTTTCTGTTTGTGCTGGGGAGGAATAGACTACCAGCATTGATGATTGCCTCACCAACCACAATGCCAACTAGTTGCAGTACTGCCAAGGAAGAGGCAACATGTTATTCCCCACAGAATGAATGAATACTGACTTCCGGTTTGGGCGTCTTTGGCGACAGACCGAAATCCGCAATCATGCACGGTTTTGATCCAAGCTTGCCGCTGGAGTGCCCCGAGCCTTCCGGATTCGGGGTGAAGCCACCCCGTAGAGGTGGTGAAGAAGGGGGAGTCATCAGTGGGGTTGAGGAGAGCCACATCTCTCCTCCTCGGCTGGCCATTACTCCCTTTCCCAAAGGCGGTTGCAGCGGTGGTCAGAAATAGCCACCTCAAAGAAGAACCCGACCAGACAAGATTGTGCAGGAGGAAGTTTAAAGAAGAAAGTTTGACTGATCGGGTTGAATGGAGAACACATCTATTTAAGGTATCTGGAACTTGAATTATAAAGACTAATACTATTCCGAAACAAGATCTTTAAAGCGGCAAAAGAGAAAGGGAAAGGAAAAAGAATTGGCTTTTTTTTTGTCTCACATTGACAGCTTTAATTGACTTTGAATGTTAAGAAGATGAGATCTAAACAAGAAATTTATATTAATCCACTTTGGCATTAACAGGCTATTTTTAACTGAAAATAAAGTGTCAAAGGGATAAAGACTCTTGGATAATTTAAGAATTTTTTTTTAAAAGGAAGAAAGCAGAGGGGAAGAAAAAAAAGAGAGTGGAATCTGGAAAAATGGAGGAGATCACCTGGAAGTAAAAAGAATTGATAGTGGAACTTTAACAAGACTTGTAAAGGATACGTTGTAGCTGAAACTTTGTTACAAGTTAACAAAGCCCCTGGAAAGAGAAAGTGAGAAAAGCAAGAAACAGCTTGGGATTATTGGGTGATTCCTGGAATCTTGGATGGTGGATCCTAATGAATTGAAATAAAATCAACTGGAGATTTTGAACTATGAAAAACAACAAGAAATGCTTGCAGAAAAAGAAGGGCGGGACAAAGAAGAAACCATCTTTAATGACCAAGCAACTTTAAGCAGGGTGAAAAAGGGAAAGGGGGGAAAGGGAGTTAAAAACTTAAGACTTGAAGCAACAACCCCCCAAAAAGAGTAATTTGAAAAGTAACTATAACATTAGGAAGAAGCAGAAAGGAGGATCACAGAAGGGAAAATCAGATAGAAAAGGGAACAAAAAGGGGAGGGAGAAGAAGAGGGGGAAGATGGAAAGGAAAAGAAGTTATAAAGGACAGAAACAAGACATAGAGAAACAGGAAAAACGTGCAAGAATTAAAGGTATAATCCTATTTAAAAGACACAGATACAATGGTTAAAATTTTAATTTAAAGAGAGGATTCTGCAAGGGTACATGAGATAGCATTGTTATATTAGAAATAGAAAAGAGTTAGAAAATATGATAGATGACATATAACATTTGCATTGTTATGTAATGGAATATTTGTTAGTAATTAAATGAAACAAAGAGGATAAGAGAATAAGGCTCTCAATGGTTTTTTTAAAAAAGTATATAATTGAAAAGAAACATGAAAGATTTTTAATGAAATTAATATCAGTTGACAGGATGAATTTGAATAAGAAGAATAATTTTATTGACTACTGTTAATAATTATTTTTTTGTTTTCTGTTTAAAGATAGTAATGAGTAAAATATGAAATATAGGTGATTAAAGTGAATGACAACTGATATTATTAGGTAATGAAATGTTTCTTAAAAGATGGAAATGTTCTAAATAGAAATGTAAAAGATTGCTATCAATATTAATGGTCGAACTGAACTCGAATAGAATAATTATTTCATTTACTATTATTATACATGCACACACACACACACACACACACACACACACACACAAACACACTTTTTTTTCAAGAACTTAGTGTGTATTTTTAAGGGAATGTACCAAACAGAATTCAGTTAATAATAGTTATGTGTTATAAAATAGAGGTTAGAAAATGAATGTTATAACTGTAAAGGCATAAATTAAACTTTAAACAAGATTTGAATGGATAATAATTAAAAGATACAAAGGTGTTACACTCCAGTTTAGTAACTACAGGGGAAAATTTGTTTTATGAGAAAAGAAAATATGAAATTGTAAGCAGGACAGACAAAAGTATAAAAATATTGATTAGAAAGATACTGAAAATTAGAAAAAGATATGTAACTGAACTTAGAAAGGAATGAAATAATTAAAAATAAGGTTACAGAAAGCAAGGAAAGGGAAAAACTATTGAGAAAATTGCGAAAATAGTTATAAGATATGGATTAGAATACACAAGATGAATATGTAATTGAGTTTCTTATGGAGAAGTGATAATCCGGGAGCATGCTGTTCTCAAAAAAAGATATTTTATTTGTACTTGTATGTTTTGTGAAAACCCAAATAAAACTTTTAATTAAAAAAAGCTGCTCCCAAACAACCAGAAACTAAGGCAGGCAGGCAGGCAGGCAGAACGGGACACTGTGGATTGAAGCGCGCGCGCGCGGGCGGGCGGGGTGGGGGTGGGGGTGAAATGAATACAAACTGTTTGTGAATATTTTCCAAGCAAGGTTCCAGACCTTGGGCAGAGGAGTTGGACTAGAAAACCTCCAAGATCCCTTCCTATGAACTTCTATAACCATGTTTTTAAAAACCAGGGTAGAAGATAGCAAATGTTTTAAAATTAAAATATGTTAGGCTTCAAATAATTTAACAACCGGTTCTCTGCCTGGTTGCTGGGTAGGAGTGGCCTAGTCAGCCTCCTGCACCACCCTGGGAGTGAAAACAGGCCATGGGGGATCCGTTTTCATCCTCCCTGAGCTCCGGAGGCTTTCCTTGAGCCTCTGGGAGGGCAAAAATGGCCTCCCTGGGCTTTCCAGAACTTCCAGGAGGCCCATTTTTCACCTTCCTTGAGCTTCCATGTGGGCCCTGCACTTACCTGCGATCCAAAACAGACCATATGGGGACTCCTGGGTGGGGAGGGGTGGAGTGGGCAGGGCCAGCCAGGAATGAGATTTGGCAGTTGGCTGAATTGGCCATAAAATTAACAACTGGTTCACCCAAACTGGTGCAAACCAGTAGTAGTCCATCCCTGGTTATTAACAAGCATGTGACAAGCAGCACAGCAGTTCTATGAGTACTAGAGAATACAATGCCATCTAACTGAATAATTAATTTTCCTGACATATCTTTTGAACTTTAAAGAATGATGTATTAGAAAACAGAAGATGGTCTTCTTTTTTTCTTTCTTCTTCTTTTTTTGTGGATGATACTAAGCAGGCAGGAATAGCTAACATCCTATATCAGGAGTGTCAAACCTGCGGCCTGCAGGCTGGATGCATCATGTGCTGGCCCCACATCCACCCTGAATAGCAAGGGGAAGAAAGTCTTGATATGTCACGTGACGTTGTCATGATGACACGAGTTTGACACCCCTGCCCTAGATGATAGGCTCAAGATCCAGATGGATCTCAACAGATTTGAACAGTGATACCTATCTAAAAACAATAAAATTCAATCTGGAGAAAAGTAAAGTCTTATACTTAGACAAGAAAAACCCAAAGTACAGACTGGGTAAAATCAGACTTAATAGCAGTAACTGTGAGAGGGATCTTGGAGTATTAGTGGACAACCAGTTAAATATGAGCCGGTAGTGTGTGGCGGCAGCCAAAAAAGCCAATGCAATCCTAAATTGCATTAACAGAGGGATACAGTCAAGATCAAGTGAGGTACTGATACCACTCTATGAAGCCTTAGTAAGACCACACCTAGAATACTGCATCCAATGTTGGTCACCACATTATAAAAAAGATGTTGAGTCTCTAGAAAAAGTGCAGAGAAGAGCAACCAAGATGATTAGGGGACTGGAGACTAAGACATATGAAGAACGGTTGCAGGAACTGGGCATGGCTAGTCTAGTAAAGAGAAGGACCAGGGGAGTCATGATAGCAGTATTCCAATATTTGAGGCTGCCACAGGGAGGAAGGGGTCAAGCTATTTTCTAAAGTGCCTGTAGGCCAGACAAGAAATAATGGATGGAAACTGATCAAGAAAAGATTTAACCTAGAAATAAGGAGAAACTTTCTGACAGTGAGAACAATCAACCAATGGAACAGCTTGCCTTCAGAAGTTGTGGAAGCTTCATCACTGGAGGCTTTCAAAAAGAGATTGGACTGCCATTTGTCAGAAATGGTGTAGGGTCTCCTGCTTGGGTGGGGGGTTGGACTAGATGACCTACAAGGTCCCTTCCAACTCTGTTAATCTGTTATCTTAATTTTATCTCCTCCTCCTCCTCCTCCTCCTCCTCCTCCTCCTCCTCCTCCTCCTCCTCCTCCTCCTCCTCCTCCTCCTCCTGCTGCTGCCTCATTTGCCAGTCCCTATAATATATTAGTTCAACTGGTGTCTATGAAAAGACTGTTAAAATAAAACATGTGAGAGGGATTGCCTCAGTGAAGTTCCAGCAGTAATAGCAACAGTTGCAACTGGTAAATGAGAATAGGCTTGAGCCTGTGCAAGAGAAGCTCACAATCCATTATGTGCTTAAATACTTTTGGTTGCTGATGCTTCATTCCTAGTCTAAGAGAATAGCACAATCACTCTCTGTTGCTCTATTGGTTACATTGGGAAAGCAAAGTAAAATCAAGGTTTCAGACTTTTTAGATATCTAAAAAATTAGACATCTCTATGAGTGACTGCAAGTGGAAATAGTACAATGATGGAATCATCAGCCAGAAGATGGTTCTGTTTGACAGAAATTTATCTGGAAGAATAGAAATCCATTTGTGCTTTAGAACAGCTGCTCTTTGTAAGGAGACTGCAGGTATTTAGTTTCTTGTGATTGATTGCGGTCAAGTGGCTAGAGAGCCAAGGGAATTACAATATACCTTTCGCTTTTATACAGCCTGCATTGACATTTGGCAAAAGCCTCATCTTCTTAAGAACTTTATGATTTGATTACTTTAGAATCTGAGAAATATTCCAAAAGCCAGGGAAAATTGAAGACTCAGTAAGTGCCTTCTTTTTGAAATTAAGAAAGGGGGAAATGCTATTTCATAGGATTTTAATTTAAAAGCTGAAGGCTTAACAAGTTCAGGATCTAAGAAAGTTTCAAACAGATAAGGACAGCTATTTTAACAAATAGAGAAAATAGAGAAATAAAGAAAGTGTAATTGTGATTATGGAGAGCCAGTATGTATGTTTAGTTTTAGAACACTTGAAACATTAGTTTGAACTTAAAATGTTTTCCCCCCAAGTGATCAAAACTTATGGGAGAGAAGGAGAAAGAGAATGGTAAGGGAGGTGAATTTTAGATTTTGGCAGATGAAGCTGATTGAGTTGTAAAATGTCCTGTGAGAATCCTTCCTGTGCACTGGGTGTTTCAACAAGACCTAGATAGCCATTTGTCATGAATGATTTAATTTGGAATCCTGCAATGAGCAGGGGATTTGTTTCAATGCTGTAAATTATATTTTCTGTGATTTTATGAAGACATTTGGTGATCATGTACATGCAATTAAGATAAAATGATGGCATGTTAAAATTGATGTGAAAAGCTGAGCCCTAAATTATGACTATGTGTAGATAGCGTTTTATTTTATTTATTTATTTATTTGATTTGCCAATTGTTTACAAGATAATAAGTATAAGTGTATACATAGTTGTGAATACATGAAATGGGTACATATAAGAAAAATAAAAGAATAAGAGAAACAATAGGACAGGGACGGTAGGCACGTTGGTGCGCTTATGCACGCCCCTTGTATTTAAAATTAATATCATGGATATGTTCCACAAAAGTTTTTCGTTCCACAAAAAACTTAATGTAGATTTTATGTTTTTAAAAAATTGTTAGATGATACTTTAAATATGGATCAGAGAATCCTTAAACTGATGCTGCAGAATCACATTTTGAAAGTGAAAGTTGGCTTGAATGATCTCTACAATGGACAATTCTTGGAAACACTAGGAGGAAAGAAACTAAGAGTATTTATATATCGAACAGTAAGTAAAATTAAAGATTTCAAAAATTATTATAGTAAAAGATGGTAAAAATTTAACTATGTACATCATATTTCAGTCAAAGGTTATGGTTATGCCATACAGCCTATTAAAAAGGTTAAGGCTATATATTGAGAGCGGAAAGTAAGTTATTTGAACATGCAGGGAAAATATGAATAAACTCAGCTGGGATAGTTGTATAAAATAATGGAACTGACTGGGTAACCAAATTTCAATTTGATATGGTTTCCAGCAACCTTATGTTTAATCAGTCTGTGCAATAGGTAGCTGTAAATGCTGTAGTTGGTCTTTTGTTTCTTTGTTTGTTTGTTTGGAATACATTTCCTGATCTGTATTACGGGAGCAATTTTCCAGCTTTGGAAATGAAAGTAGAATATTGGTGGATTTATTCAATATAGAATTTTATCAGCACAAAATCCAGTATCTAAACTCAATATCATGTTCTGATCAATTTATGTCCTTGATTTAATTGACTATTTGGATTGACACTGATTTCAAGATGAGCAGAATCTGGTCCTAAAACAGGAACAAAATGTGCTTGTTTTGTTTCTAAAGGTAATTTTTTCAGAGAAGAAATTTATGAAATAACATAACTTTTGGGACAAAAGTATATGAGTAATATATGCATAAACAGTGTGGTACAGTATTTCTTGGAGATAAGCTTCGTTTGAAAGATTGAAAGCAGCATGGCTTCATGTACTATAATTTTATTTTATTATAATAAATAAATGTAAATATTATGTTTATTTCATAAAGAAAATCTATGATTCTGGATTCAACAGCCTTAGTAAGATTCCAAAGATTTAGTTTCTGTGGAGTTATTCAGATAGAACACAATTCTTTACTGATTAAAGTTTTTATGCTTGGGCCTGAATGACCATTTTTGACCTGTTCAGAAAAAGTTATTAAAATCACAATGATGTTATTTTCATGGTGCCTTTTATTCAGCCATCAAAGAAAATATTATATTTATTTTAGCAGATTGCTTGCACAAGAACTAAATGGATAATATTTTACGCTACTTGAACATTTCCATACAAAATGTTTTTATGTAGTTTCCAGTGAGATTTAGCTCATATGTTGTTTGTCTTTTGTATTGCTAGGCTGTGTGTATTGAAAATTCATGCATGATTCGAGGAAGCAAAGAGGGAAGAAATGGATTTATCCATATTTTTAGGCAAATAATCAAACCAGCAGAAAGAACTCTGCATGAAGTATTGAGATCTGACAAACGATTCAGGTATAGTAAGAATTTTTAACTATTAGGAGGAAGGAGAGCAAAAATATGAAGCTATACAATAATGCTTTTCATATTTAATATTACAAATGTTAGTAAATATTAGTATATAATTACAAAAATTATGTATTGTTCCAGAAATACATTATCCTACTCTGGTTTAGGAATACACCAGCACAATTTAGAGATGCTCCAGAAAAGGATTGAGAAAAACAAAGTTTTGTTCTTTGTAGGGACATTTACCTTAGTCAAAACAAATTCTTATTATAGTCATAGACCGAAGTTAATATTTAATCTAAGTCTAATCAAATTACAGAGCTCTCTAGTATGACAAAATAGATGCTCATTAAGTTTAAGTTATGGCACAGGTCATACTATGACCAATTTTAAGCACTGCTATGCAGAACCTAGCAACAATGTAGGGTTGGTATCTAAAGGTATAGAATTGAGAGGTATAAAATAGTCCTATGCACCTTGGATGTTTATGAAGTAATGGTGAGATGAGCTAATACAAATGTTTTTGTAGCACAGTCATCAAGAAGCATGTACTCTGTTATTTATGTGTGTTCAGATTATAGGGGCATTACCTCTCTAAGTAAGGAATCTTGGTGTATTAGTCTTCAAAGATACCTGAGGGGAGGTCATGACTTTGTGCCAGAGTAAAGGTCCTCCTATGTTTAGGTACTTCAAGATTAGTTATGCCATAGGGGAGGCAGATTACCTATGGGATTCACTGACAATAAATATTGGGATCCTGGCTACGTCCAATTTGTGTCTGCTACATGCTGTTTAATGAACCCTTTGGAAAGATCATATACTATGCTGATAAGAAGACCTGAGAAAAGTTCAAGGGTAAGAATTTCCTGACAGGGAAAACAATTAACTAATGGGATGGCTTGCCTTCAGAGTTTGTGGGTGCTCCATCACTGGAGGTTTTTAAGAAGAGACTGGACAGCCACTTGTTTGAAATGGTTCTCCAGCTTGAGCAAGGGTTTGGACTAGAAGACCTCCAAAGTCCCTTCCAACTCTATTATTCTGTTGTAGTTGGCAGTATCTTTTTACATGTGGATCACTCACAGTTAATCGGAGAAGACCAAGGGGAAGAAAAGAAAGTCTGAGCAAATGGCTGAGTATAGTCATCTACACACTATCTTCCACTTTCATGAGGCCTGTTTCTATTTGCAGGTGGCATTAGAAACACATTTAGAATATGAAGGGCTGATCTTAGAAATTTGGATTGTGTAGGTCAGAGGTGTCAAACTCAATTTCATTGAGTGCCGCATCAGGGTTGTGTTTGACCTGGGGGACAGGGGCATGGCCAGGGTGAATGTGGCCAGCTCAACATCACTCATTGAGGCTCCGTTTTCAGTCGCGATGGCCTCCTGGAACCCTTGGCCAGCAAAAATGGAGCCCAGTGTTCTGACCAAGGCTTCCTGAGACAGTAACAATCACACGCTGTTCCCAAAAACCTTTTGTTTTATTTCAATGGCTGTGAATTATATGCATTCACAGCCCATAATGAGTCCCAAACAGTTTACGAATAGTCCAACAGAAGTGTGCCACAGTCTTTTGGGATAAGGCTGATAAGCACCTACCTTTAACTCCCTTGAAATGCTACCAATGATTAAATTGCCAATTAGCTGTACAAGGCCAAATGGAGCACAGTCAACACAGAGCTTCAGTGTTTAAACCGACCAGAACGAACAAAGTTGCTTCCTGCAAAGGCTCATGTCCCTTTGCTCCTCCTTTATGTCTTATGGGAGGGGCCAATCATCTCCAAGCCTTACTTCTGAGTCGCCCCTTTTGTCTTAACTGTTCTTGCCTTCTGGCAGCTCTGCACAAGCGCACAGTGGAAAAGGATCCCCCTGTTCCTCTTCCTTGCTGATGTCAGATTCTGGAGGCTCTGGAGCAGGGGTGGGATACGACAGGGTTAACTACCAGTTCGGAATTTACGACCTTCCCTGCAGGCTGCAAGCCGTGCGCCTGTAAATCAGCAGCAGCAGCTGCCTGCAGAGAAGTAGCCTTTGAAACAGACCTCTTTTCTTGCTTTTCTAACTGCAGCTGTGCCTTGTTCGGCAGCTGAAGTTGAAAAATCAGGAAATAAAGATCAGGTAAAAGCCCGGGTGGGTGGGCGGGCAAAAACATCAGCAGACATAGAACCGGTTCTATGTCTGCTGCTCTTCAGAGCTACCGGTTCTACAGAGGTGGACAGAACCAGTAGAAACCCACCCCTGCTCTGCACTCAGCACATAACTCTCAGATGGCCCTGGCCCATCTCTGTGTCGGATGCAGATCCCTCGTCTGAGCCCTCCCTAGACTCCAGAACTGGCCCATGTTCCTCCCCACTGTCCAACTCTGCTGCCAGCTCCGCAGGCTGCCAGCAAACCACAATACCCAGGGAGGCTGCCCTGGGAGGCCCCAGGTTCCGTTTTTGCTGGCAAAGGGCTCCAGGAGGCCATCAATCACGGCTGCAAATGGAGCCCAGCTGGGCTGTGTTTTTGTTGGCTGAGGCACCACAGGCCAGTCCTTTGCTGTTTCCAGGGTGGGTCCATGGTTCAGATTTAAGCACCCAGTGGGCCTCATGCGGCCTGTGGGCCTTGAGTTTGACACCCCTGGTGTAGGTTCTAATGGTAAAAATTGGAGAAGGGGCTCAGTTGGCAAACCATAAAGAATATGTTATTGGCTTGACTTTGAATAACTTGAGTGTGGCAGGCATATAGTGTACACCTCTTGTTTTAGAGAATTTAAGAATGACAGATAAGCAACTAGTACATTTTCTGCAATATTTATGGTGGTGCAGCACAGTTATAGCTTTCTGACTATCAGCAGAAGGACGGACTACCCTCTGGTATTTGAATCAGGAGATGTGCTCAATTTTGTGTCATCTATGTTCCAAGAATGGCTCTTGGGTCTTTTGGCAAATGCCATCATTTTAGTTTTCTAATAATTGATAAATGCATTGGTGGTATAGTGGTGAGCATAGCTGCCTTCCATTATCCTTAGAATAATCTGTTCCTTTTAGGAATTATTACCCTAACCCCAACTTTTTTATTGAAAGACAGTTGGTGTCTAGCCACAGTAATCCAATTCAAGAGTTCAGGTCCATTTTTACCCCCCGCCTCTCCATTATGCACCTGTCTAGAGTTTTTCTACAGGAATTGCATACAGATAGCTCAAGCTGAAGACTGCAAAAGCACCCAATTATAAGACTATACTAGCCCTGCTCCAAGAATAATAGAATAACAGAGTTGGAAGGTACCCTGGAGGTCTCCCAAGACTTTAGGGTATGGGTAGTTGTCACTTATCAACTGCCTATTTATTGATTATTTGAAGGATTGGAGGAAAAATTGTGACTAGTCCTCCAATTTACGGTTATGTCCGTCTAGCATTGCTATTTGGGCAATTCATAACAAGCAGAATTAAGCAGCTGAAACTGAATACAAAATAAAAATGGTTTTGATATTGACAATATTGCACATTCTTCTTTCTATGTACAATTTCATTTTAATATTCTGTCAAATGGCAAGAGATATATTATATTTGGTATTGTTTTCATCGCCAGCACTTTCCTTAGTCTTCTGGAAGCTGCAGGCTTAGAAGAGGTTCTGTCCCAGCCTGGTGATTGGACTTTCTTTATTCCAACAAATGAGGCTTTCAAAGGCTTGACTGAACAGGAGAAAGAAATTCTGATAAGTAAGTCATAAAAAGATAAATAAGGGCATTCCCTGGAATGAATTATTTCATTTCTTCTTTTGCATTATGTGAATTGTAATGTTATTTCTCCTGGTCATTTTGGTTTTTTAAAATGGTCTTTATGGTTCTAACATTATACTGCCAAAGTTTAGCAGCAAAATCTAATTACCAATAATGCAATTATTTCTTTTTTCCTCTTTTTTATAAATTAAATCTTATATATTAAACTTGGATTTTTTTTTAAAAAAAAATGGCCATTCCCCTCCTGTTGGTGAGCCTCCCCCCCAAATAAAATGAAGTGTGACTCCATGGCAAGTATTCTCTCTCCCTCCCTCCCTCCCCCCTCTCCCCCCCCCAGGAGGACCCTTTGGCTTATCAGGGAATTTATCATGGAATTGTTTCACTATCTGCCTTTATGTCCCAGCTCTTAACCCAGGTAGCCTCAGACAAAGGGTATTTGTCAATCAACCCTTATGTAGTTTAGAATCTAAAATTCTCTTAACTTCATAATGGATCTCCCCTTGTACCTCTATTGGCTTGAGTGCTGGTCCCTTTTGTGGTCTCAGTTTTGAACTGACAGCAGGCTTTAGCAAGCTGCTGTGAAAGACTGGATGCACTTTTCCTATTAAGCGTGGGAAGTTAAGCTGAACTATTACTGGGTTAATTATTTTCACTATCAGAAAGGGCCCTAAAAATTTAGGTCCTAGTTTTTTGCTGCACAATTTCAATTTAATGTATTTGGTTGACAGGTAGACTCGATCTCCTACATGGAAGGGGGGCTGGAGAGATCAGTGCTTGTCGGCTTGTTTTTTGAATGCTTCAGCAGCTTCTGCTAGGACTTTTTTGGTGTCTTCCCAGCCCTTTTTTAATGACTCCATCCTAGAGTCATGGAGGAGAGTGGCTCTCTCGGTAGTTCGGGCATGGGAACGAAATCCATGCCACTGGTGGCCTGAAATCCATGCCACTGGTGACCTATGCACCGTGTTGTTGTAAGCCACTTCTGCAAAAGGCAGCAGGTCTGTCCAGTTTTCTTGCTGATAATCCACATAACATCTTATGTATTAAGCTATCATGGTGTTTGTACATTCTGTGGCTCTGTTCGTACTCAGATGGAAAGCCAAGCTAAGCCCCTGGGTCAATCCGATGGATTTCAGGAACTCTCTTCAAAATTTAGTGGTGAACTGGATGCCTCTGTCTGAGATCACCCTGTGGGGCACTCTGTTCAGCCAATTGTCGAAGTCTGAATCCAAGGAGGAAGACGAACAGCTTGAAGGGAGTGGGAGAGGAGGCTGTGGAGGAAACTGGGGAAGGACAAAATCAGGCTGGATAGAACTGGGGAGAGGTAGAACAAGGGAGAGGGGGTTCACACACTCCCAACTGGTTTGATTTACTGCTGTGATACTTCACTTCTGAAACTCCTTATCTTGCCCTGCCGAATTTATTACCTTATTTTGCCTTGTTGGATTTATAACTTAAGGTTAATGGTTACAACATTTGGATTGGAATATCTGCAGCCAAAGGCTGTTGCAGGTTCATGGGAGAGTTTTTTTCTCCACACTGGAAGGTAACTGGGGCACTCGGGGCAAAGTTGGAGCTAATAAAGGGACCCATACTTATTCTCTGGCTGAGTTGCCTTTGTGCAATGCCCCAGGTCATCACATCAATAAATCTGTTTGATGAACATTTTTGCCAGCTTCTTTGCTGAGGGTAATCCTGAGCAGGCAGTGAAGTGGACTTGCTTAGAAAACAAGTCAATTTACAGTCCAGATGACTGTATTCCCCCCACTCTCCGGGACCTCTATGATGAAATACATGATGATTTCCTCCCAGGGCTGGCTGGGTTAGCCACTTGTTGGAGAGGCCCAGGAGGTTTTCTTGGCCTCATCTTCATGGTGGCGCAGGTGGCACAAATTTTTACATATTACTCCACATCGGCTTTTCGCCCACCAGAACTGCCTTTGGGCCAAGTGGAGGGTTTTTAGAAAGCTGAAGTGACCAGCCAGTCATGAATCGTGGCTATGTTGCAAGACTTGCAGTCCCAAGCTGGTGGGGATATATAACTTAGATCCCTTCCAAGCTAGCCCCTCTCATGGTTAGAGTGTCCCGGTTCTCATTAAACCATTGGTCGGCTGGGAGCACCATTTTTAGTGCCACTGTGTAAGAGAATTTGCAGCATGACTGCCATTATGAGATAACCCAGGAGCAAAACACAGCACACACAGATGTATACATTTAACAGTGGTGGTTTATCTACAACAGTTATATACAGAAATAAACATGGTAGGCAAAATAACTTACAAACACACTTTCTTATTCTCTACACGGAGAACTCTGCAATGAATACTAGACACAAGGAGAGAGAACACCCCCTTTATAATGGCTGCCTTATATAAACACCTCTTAAAGGGATCTTTAATCCCTAGTCTTAAAGGGAAATACCCATGCTAGTGTCGTGGTCCGCCAGCAGCCTGCGGAGCTTGCAGCAGAGTTGGACAGTGTGGAGGAACATGAGCCAGTTCTGAAGTATCTTTTCTGCCTGTCTTTTCTTTCTGTTTCTCTTTCCCGTATATATTATTGTTAGCCCTTTTATATAAACTTTTGCTGTACCCTATACGTTTTGTAGCGAAGTTTTCTCTTTTCTATTTTTCTCAAAGAAGAATTTCAATTCTTTTTCCATGTATTTAATGTACTCCTTTTCTCTTAGTATTAAATTGTTCATCGTCCATCTTGGCCTCTTTCTTTGTCCCTTCCATGTTGCCTACTTTTCCTTCCACATTCCCTATTTTTTCATCCATTCTCCCTATTTGCTCTTGTAATGCTTGTAGGATCATTTTAATTCTGCCTGTATTGCCTTTTCTTGCTGTAACATCAAATCAATAGATGTCTGTCCTCCTGGGCTGGAAGCCGCCAAGGAGGAGGCTGAAGATGGGGTGGATGTTGTTGCTTTTTTCATTTTTTGATATTGTATTTGTTGTCTCTTAATAATCTCATCGTAATCCATTTTGTGTTCAAAATCAATTTCTAATCTGCAATGGGATCTTTCTCCAGATTTCTTTCTTCGAGCTCTTCTATGCTTTAATCCAATAAATTCCAAAGGGGGGGGGGACTGTAGAAATCCAGTGAGAAAATCAGCAATTTTAAAGCAAAATCCAATTTAAAAAATTCCAGGAAAAAAGAAATAAAAGTAAAAATGACTCAAAAGATACTTTTCTTATTATGCTAAGTATAAAAAGGTGAAGGAGATTGGAAAAAAGGATACCAATCTCCTTAAAAAGTTAAGAAAAAACCCCAAAAATTAAAAATTGAGAAAGAGAAAAAGAAAAAGAGAAAAAAGATTATATAAGAAAAATATGCATAAGAGAAAAAAAAGTAAAAAAGTTGTAATATCCATAAAGTTGTTCTAGTATTATGTCCCAATAAAATTTAAAAAAAAAAACAGGAAGGGTATGGGTTAATTATCCAGTTATAATCCACATGTCACCAGGTCTCAGCATCCCCAGCCTTCAGTGGTTTCCCTGTGTTAAATTCCAGAGTGCAGCTTTGCTAATGCAATGAAAACAGTTCATGAGAAAGAGATTTAATCTTCTGTTTCTTTTTTTTTTTGAAACAAATTTTATTAATTTTAAAGACAAACAAACCATCATTAACCATTGAATACATAAAACCTCTTTCCATTATCAATTTTACAAGTCGAATAAAACATTATTTTATACAACATAATTCTATTTTACACCATTTCCATATGAACATATAAATATCTCTTAGCAAATTTCTCATTATTTCTCTTTACTCTTATTCAATTTCATTATTATTATTATTTTTTCCTATATTTATCCAATTTATAGTTATCATCTTCATTTCTCTCTGACTTGGTTACCGTTATTCTCATCCAACATTCCTCCAAGGTTTTATTAATTCTCACACAGACATAAACACACAAAACACAAAAACATAAAACTTCTTTTTAGAAAGTAACTTGGCCCCAGATTACCTCTCTCTATATGGACTTCAATTAAATTCGTGCTCATCTTATATACCATTACCTATCTTAGTTACCATTCTATATCTTCTATATAGCTTCTGCCCGCTTTTCACTCTTCTTAATTCTATTTTATTTAATTCATTCTAATTTAAATCATTGTGCTTGTATCTTTTGTCCATTCTTCCCAAATTATCCATTTATCTCATTCCCTATAGTAAAAAAAAAAAAAAGGATTTCTCCTGGAATCACTAATCAGAGTATGATGCCTTTCTATCATCCCCCTAAATTAACATTTAAAATAACGCCTAGTACCCAATCTGATTCTGCTTAGTACATTCTACCTACTAACTTTTAAAACGAAGAAAAAATAATAAATCCAAAATGATTAAATACATAATTAGATAATAAATCTAAATATTAAATCTTGTAACATTCCAATTATCTATTTCAAAAACAAATGCTACAGTAATAAGTTTATAATAACATCAACACAATAGTCAATTAAACTCTTTAATTAAACTCAATATTTTAAACATTCCCTTTAATATTTTGTTAAATTTTAAAGTCTATCATTACTAAACATTTCAATATTTTAATCTTTTATTAATTCTTATAACATTCTAGTTTTCTATTTCTAATACAAATACTACAATACCATCTTATGTACCTTGCAGAATCTTCTTTTTTAAAGAAATTATACATTACCCTTTGTCCCATCTTGTTTTATACCTTTGTGGCTTTTTCCCCCCTTTTCCCTTCCTTTCTTATCCCACCTGACCTTTTTACCCCCGCTTCTCCTAACCTCTGCCTTGTTAGCTTCCCCTCTCTGTTGTATTCCTTTTTTCTTTTGCTTTCTAACATTGTGTTGATTTTGCATCTTATTTTTCTCTTTCTTGGGTGTTTTTTTAAGTCTTAAGTCCTTCATTTTCCTTCCTCTCTTTCTCCTTTCTTTCTTAATTAAATTTTTTGATTCATTAAAGATGGCATCATCTTCTTCTTCTTCTTCTTCTTCTTCTTC